GAAAATGAAAATGAAAATGAAAATGAAATAAAATATTAAATATCAGAAAATGTTTTGTTACTATTTTAGCATACTGACTATATTAGTCTAATAAGGTTTTGATGGAAAAGAAAACTTGGGATATTTTTAAGTTAGGAAACATCTAATTAAAAAGCCCATTGTTTTTAATAGATTTGTTTTTAGAAAGATGCTAAAGAGTTTTTTCCCCACAATGGCAGAGAGGCCTAGCATGAAATATTAGGCCACATTCCTATTTAAATACAATATAACTTGAATAAAAAATAGCTGGAGTTAATTGTACAAAAGACAGAAATGAATAAAATTTAACTAGTGATTTGTTTCATCATTTCACTGAAAAAAAAACAAACACAAATGAACCATTAATGGTGAACTGTGCAGGAGAAAGTGAAATTAACTTAAATTACCTTTTACAGAAATATTTCATTGATCTCCAGAGTAACAAATTTTGAAATAAACTTTTTTTCATGTGGTAATATCAGGTTCATAGTTGCTTATTCTCTGGCTCCATGCACTCGCAATCATAACAAAAAGATGAACTAAAACTATACCATACTTTAGATCTGAAGGTAAAGTCTTTCAGAAGGTGGAGGCAGGAATATAGATTTGGAACCATTTACACCGAATGCACCTTTTCCTATGATCATATTGCACAAGTTGTGCATGGTCCTAGTATGAACCAGAGTTTATTCAAATGCTGCAAATACACAAGAAGCATTTCATCTTGGAAGCAGTATTGCATGTATAAATTTGCCCAAGTCTTTGGATCCCAACAGTATTAAAGCACTTTTACTTCCATTTCTATTTCAGTATTATATCAGTTATCAAACATAATTTGGTAACTAAAGTATGCAGAGTATACAGTTTGTTTCTATATATGTTTACACCATCTATTTCCTATGGGACAAGGGAAGCAGGAGAGAAATGTCTAAATTAACTGTTTAAATTATTAATAGTTTAATTTATTAAACAGTTAATAAATTATTAACTGTCACATTTTCCCATAATGGATGTCTGCACACCAAGGAAATTAAACCTGCTTCAATAATTTCTTCAGATTTTCTTCGGATTTTCCTAATATAGGAATTTTGGTCTAATCCAGGAGGCATGAGCCACAGAAGTCTCTAAATCAGGGGTGTCGAAGTTCCCACACTTACGTTTTGCTGGAGTAGAGAAAGATGGTTTACACAAAGTTTGATCAAAGACATTATTGAAAACATATCTATAATCCAGCACTGATGAAGTTACCTAGTTTGGGTAATGAAATGTCTGCAAGAAAACGAGCAGGTTTCAGAGAGCACTAAGGACCCCTCATTTCAACCGGGAGTTACAAATATTCTCCTTTATTAATCCAAGATATAAAGGAAGGACTTGCACAAAGAATCAGGAACCAGGTGAAATCTACAAGCTAAAACACAAAAATTTAAAATATAGAGTTTAAAAAAAAAAAAAGTCTGGTCTATTCAGAATCACCCTGCTCACAGTAATAACTAGCCACGGACCAACACCAGAAGCTCTCCTGTCAGGTCAGATGCCCTAACACAGAACTGCAAAATAAACAATTTCGGCCAACCTGCCTTCCATTGAGAAACTCTGCATGAGTCAAAAAAGAGGGCCATGAAAATATTTACAGACCCCTCGCATCCTGGATATAATTTGTTTCCTACCCTCAAAATGACAGTATAGGGCATTGCACACCAGAACAACTAGACACAAGAACAGGTTTTTCCCCAAATGCCATCAATCGGCTAAACAAATAATTCCCTCCTCACTGTCAAACTATTCACTAAGGCTTCATTACTATTACTGTTAGTCATCTCATCATTCCTATCACCCATCTCCTACCACTTATGACTGCAAGACTGTAACTTTGTTGCTTGTTTCCTTAGGATTTATATTGATATTGTTTCCTGATAGTTTATTTGTACCCTCTGACTATCATTAAGTGTTCTACCTTATGATTCTCCTTGAATGTATTTTATTCTCCTTAGGTGCACTGAGAGCATATGCACCAAAGACAAATTCCTTGTGTGTCCAATCACACTTGGCCAATAAAGAATTCTATTTGTGCATCTATAGCAGGCCTTCCGTTCAGGCTTCCTTAAGCACAGAGTTGTCCAACGTGCTTCCCTGCTGCTTTCCAGGCACCTCCGAAAACCCTCTTCAGTTTCCATCAACTCGGGCGGCTGCCTTCACGTCTCCCACCTGCCTTTTCTCTAAACCGCTGCCCCAATCTCGGCTTTTCTCAAAGCCGCCCAGCCGAGCCTACCCATCACCCCGTCCCATATATGGGATTTCCGTAAAGCGCGGGCACTTTTCCGCTTCAGTGAAGGCCAGCAAAAGCCACGGCTGTCTCGGTTTCTTTTCCAGACGCCCAGCCTGAAGGGGTGCCGGGAACACACACACCCTGCCCTCCCATCGCCCGAGTGCAGGTCTTTCTCCGTGCCGCCGTCCGTTACGCCCCTCACACCTACCAGTCTGCAGGGAGGCACCCCCACCAGCAGGGGCGCTATCAACGGCCGAAGGGGCGGGGTGTTGTTCAGGCGGCTCCTCCCCGGGAGGCCCAGCATTAGCAACGGGGAAAACAGTGGGGCCTTGGAAGTATTTGATGTCGCGGAAGAACTTCTTCGTTTCGCGCAAGTTGTGCTGCAATCGCGTTAGGTGCCGGTTGTAGTGGCCGAACGTGCGGCATAGCTCGCGGTTTAATCCTCCGCCGGAGCCGCGGACGGTGGGGCCTCCGCATCCCTCCGACATTTCTTCCGCCGGGGCTTCAACTCCAGAGTCCTCTTCCCACCAGGGGAATGGGGAGTCGTACGATGCCAGGCTGTCGCTGCCGCCTTTCCCCCAGCCTTAACCTCCAGCTCCCCTGTCAGCAGCGATGCATCAAGTCGCACTGCGCAAGGAACGGAACCTTTATCCGGGCGCTCTGCCGGGGAGAGGGAGGTGGCCAGGGGCGGACTCCATACGGATATTTTGGTCGCCTTGAACTATGGGGGATGTAGTCGTATTTGGGAGAACTTCCTTATTATAGGAGTTCCTTTCTTTATAAGAGGCCTCTGAAAACAGGCGCTTTTCCCGAACTGTATCATGGCTTTTGTAGTTTTCAAGCTAAACACAGATGTTTTCCGTTCTCTTCCAGGGCTAACTTGCTGAAATTAAGTAGCGGGTTATGAGAGGCTTTAGACTAGGTAAAAATGGGAAAATAGAAGGGGAAAGCAATGAATGGGAACTTTAAAAGAATATAAAACCTCCAAGTGTAAGAGTATGATCCGTAGGAGATTATGAAGTTGACTCTCTTTTGTGAATATTATTTCAAATTTCTTTCCTTGGAAAATAAAAAAAATGGCTCATTCTCTGAATCGAATTAAGGATGAAGCAATGGTAACCTGTATTGTTGCCAATAATATAACATACATGCGTTCAGGTAGTCACAAGAATCAAGTTTGGAAGAGATGTTAGTGTAGCTAAATGAAATGATCGATGGGTGAATTTTCAACATGATTTAAACTTTTCTCCAATTGCAAAGACTAGGCATACATAGTAATCCTTATCAATGCATTCTTTAATTACATGAGTAATTGAAGCCAATATATCATCATACAGAAATCAAATAAATAAACCATAGCAAGCTAAACTGTTTTGCTGAACAAATGCATATCCTATAATATTTTGGAAGATCATTCCTCTAAAGCTTAGTAAGCCTTTAAGGAATAGTATCAAGTGAGAGGCAGATTAAGAGAAAACTTTGGTTCTTTTTGCATTCATTTGTCTAAATATAGAAATGACAGCTTAGGAGAGTAAGTGGAGTGACTGAAGAAAATTAACACATCATTCAACCTATCTTTTAATAGAAAATTAATATTAGGAGAAGAGGAATAGTGGTTGCACAACAAAGTTGTAAACAATAATAAAGGCAAATTAAAAATCAAATAAATAGTACGAGATATATTACTGTTTCTTACATTTGAATTACATTGTCTCCTCAAAGCTGTCTAGGCTTAGATTACCTCCAAAGTAGTACTCTTTTTTTAAAGCTGTTATACAAGTAGTTATTTTGAGTAGTTGCTGCCAATATTTTGAGCAGTTGCTGCCAATGCAATGTTATTATCATGTGATTTTTTTAGGATCCAAAGGGTTGAGTTCTGGTTTCCATGGACATACATACAGAATAATTTAATTGTAACAACAAAGTTATTTTTCTGAACGCATACCCATCCTCATGCTGGCAGATGTAACTCTGGATAATTCCCATAAAATAAAAAAGGAATCCTTTATTCCTACTTCATTTTGAATCACCTTCAATACCCCTTGGCCACTATGAACTCAGCTAAACTGAAAGGATTATACAGGTCTGCGACTAAAAAGCTGTTTGATTATTTTCATCTAATTTCCATGTACTTTGGTGTGATGAAAACAAATAAAATATTGAAAAAACTCCTAGACGTCATGATTTGCCACATGCAAAATTGTCTTCAAATTTATCAAAAAAAATTAATTTTT